TCAAGAGATCCTCATGGTTATGGCTTTCGACGGCTGAAGCTTTTAAGTGAAAAAATTAAAACTTCAAAACATGAGCAAATATCGAGCTCAAGTGAGTTATCAGAGTCTCACTTTTCCCCCCTAACTGCGTTGCAGTAGTTATTTTGCGCCGCTTTTTTATATATGATGTAAATTTCGTCTATAACGCTTTATGTTTCCTCCGTTTGGCTTCGCGAAGTTCTGTGAATCATATATTTATAGTTTTAAATAAACATTTTTTGGTATCTTGTGGTCGCAAAATTCCCCGCTCTTTTCTCTTCGCCATTCGCACGGTTTCTTTTATGAGCCCAAGGAACTGAAAATATCAAGGAACTTAATCATAGATTTTCGTATTACTAGGACAAAGAATATCGTTCGTCCGACCAAGGACCACGTTATATAGAGGTTCATGAAGTCGTTGTTTTAATTTTGGGAGGATTTTTAGAAACTTTCGCCGAGCAAAAGTCTTCTCAATGGAAGTATTAAAAGACTTGCAACAGAAATTATTACGAAAGGAGAACGCTGTCAAGAATTCTCCATTACGAATAACTCACCAAAACACGCGCAAGTGAAATAGGAGAATGAGAGAAAGTGCTGAAGAGAGGAAACGAAAGAGCTAACATCCTGGCATTTCTGTCTTACGATCACGAGATACAAGTAATGATATATTAATGAGTTAAAAACGACGACAATGATGAAAATTAATTGGTGACACGATTTTGGGGATTTCTATGGAAATTATGTTACATTAAGTAAGTATACACTGGATTACTGATATATATTTATATACACTTTTAGAATTTTTGCTCATCATTGAGCCTCTCAGTCACATTTGGCAAACCACTGTCCCGGAAGCTATTAAAGAATTTGTTACCAACGAGAAAAATAAGCCAAGCAACTAATTGATCAAATAGAGAGGCAATAAAATTCCGTTCGGCATGTCGCTTTGGCTGGTTGTTGCCTGTCTTCAGGACAGCGAAAAATAGTCCTTAAGTTAGAGATACATACAGCAGTTATCTTTTACGTATCATGGTCCTCTATACAAAAGCGAGGTTCTGAGATTTAAGTATGGTCATAAATAATATAATGCAGTACCAGGGTGTAAAGTGAAAAGATGAACTGATGCCGTGACAGCGGCTGAGTAAATAAAAGGAAAACTGCTGATCCCTAAAAACAGTAGGTAGAGAAATTATCAGAGTAAAAAAACAAACAAATTTGAATGAGCAATTTATTACATAACATTTCAATGAAGCCTAATTTCTTGTGTCATGGATCGCGTTTAGACAAAGATCGAGTCATATCCACCTACTAGAAGCCTCCGAGCTCTGAAAAGACATCACCATTCAACCCTGCACTTAGTTAAAAATACACAGAGCTCCGCTGAGCTTACAGTTCATCTAACCCTTTTACGAACTGAATCTGGGCTGGCCACCTTCGAAACAGTGAGCGACTGCAAAAAAGAGTGCGTCCGAGATAACAATAACAATTTCTAATGTCATATCCCTCTCCGGTGGAGAATGTCTTTAACCCTTAACTCCCACAAGTGACCAAGACAAAATTTCTCCTTACGGTATCAATACAATATTAACCACTCAAGTGATGAGAATAACTGAAAAATATCAACTTGGGTATAATTAGTTGATCCAATACTAAGTTTTCTGAACAAACATGTTGAGAATTGCACGGTTGACAGTAAGGAGAATTAAAAATTTGGTCTGAGAGTTAAGAGGTTAAGGATTGTGATACAGTCTTGACCCCTCAAAAACATATTAACTTAATTTTATATGGTAACAACAGAAGCAGCGAATTGAAGCCGGTTTTTCGTTTGTTGCTGTAAGTGTTGTTGTTTTCGTTTTGACAAAAAGGAAGCGCATACCACTAGAAACTTAATTTAGAAAGAATAATGATGAGAATAGTAATAAATAATAATAATAATAATAATAAGAATAATAACAGTAAACAACAAACGAAAAACACTTGAAAGAGAATAGTCGAAGTTTCTATGCTTAGAAAAACAAAGTATGGTAAAATACTCTTCTTAAAGATTTTCGATATTGCGTTTGTAAACATCAGAATCGCTTCTTGTAAAATACTGAATTTACTGCCCCCATTACCTTCGTTGATGCGCTAAGTTTTGAATTTTCCATGAAGCATCAACTTGAAATGTAAATGTAATTGATGGATACACAATAGAATCAGCTAAAGCGCACAATGCAAAGGCTGCTGTGTCTGTGATACTTGATTAAAATTTATTTTGCTAATAATTAGCGTAGATTTTCCGAAGAAATTTGACAAATCAATCGAACAAAGTTTTACCATTACCCTGAATTATGAAACTGTAAGAAGCTGAGAACAGATGACATTTCGCGCAACACTGAAAACGGAGATTTTTAAAGGGTAAGTTGACTTGCGTTTCAGTTGTGTGTTAGACAGTCGTACAGTAAAATGAAAAAATAAGCATTTGGACAGTGTTCCTGTTTCATTCTTTCCTTCTACACCTACCGGTAATTTGAAACTTTCATGACTGTTTATAGAGTTATCAAATCAATTAAGTAAAGTAAAATTCGAGTTACCCGATGCCGAGGTATCTGTTCTTTAAGACCAGCTAGCATACTTAAATAGAAAACCACTTATATAGCTATTAATCTTGGCAGTGTACTTAGCAGTATCATTATTTGCATATATAGTTTCCCATAGCACAAGGATACCTCGAAATACCGCAAAAATGCAATACTTGTCCATACCGACCAGTGAATCGCATCATGATATGGATATCAGGCGCCTTAGTTCCAATCCTAAGATGCGGCTCTCAAGTTAAAGGCACGTGCATGTGTCAGAATGTACGATTGCGTAAGCCATAAATTCAACGTAGGGGCGGAGAGGGTAGTTTCTTTGACAAAGCGATAACACCATGGTCAGTTCATTCTCCTCAATGAATCGGGTTATCACGAACACAGCATTAAGCAATAATAGACTATCTGAAGAATGAATTTGTAAAAACAAAGCGTTCAGCTCAAATGCTCTCTTGACTTGGCCCCGGACATTAACTTCGATGAAAACGAAAACAAACATTTCCAGAAAACATGTCGAATAAAATAATTTCAAGGGTTACAGTAACTTTACTGAACTTAAATCATTCTTATAATAATATCGACATGCTTTACAAATGTTTACATGGAACTTCTTTCTGTTTTTGTCGGTCCTTGCTCAAACGAAACTTTTCTTCATTAGCCTAATAATTAAGTCAGCCACTTTGATAAGAAAATGCCAGAGGAAGTTTCAGAAAACAAAGACACGATTCAGACTGAACGTGATCATATTATTATGCTGCTGAAACGCTGAAGGACGTCGCGAGAAGAGACAGAAACTTAAAAGACAAAAGATGTCTTCGAGAATGGAAAACCATCTGCTACGTGCTCACAAAATATATAAAATAATTAATTGATAAATTTAGTTTACAAAAATAGCAAAAGTAGGTTTAGATTTTTTTTATTGTATGTTCATAATTTCAGCTTAAGAGTTGTCTTTTCAAATTGCCTCAAATTCCATTGGAATTTTCAGGATCCTTCCAGGTCAATTGAATATAAAAATCAGATATGGCTAGCTTAACCCTGAACTCCTTCGTAAATCTCTTTTCTCTAACTTCAAAATTAATTCATGACATTAGTCAGCTGTAGTAATCAATCGATCAACTTAATAAATGTGTCAGTCTGAATTTATCCCAAGAAATACAACCTTCATTTGGTGTTTCCTGAACGGAATATATCACTTGTAGTTAAAGAAAAAAAGTCAATATCGTGAAATTGTGAGCCAGCAGAGAAGGCGTGATTTTGGCGAGCAACTGCTCAATATTTTCTTAACGAAAATTATGGCCGCCATCTTTGATTTTAATGGCAGCTGAAAGCTAGAGAGAGAAAGAAATTTATACCAAGGGGGCGGTCGTCGGTCAAAAGTAAGGGAGAGGGTGGGGGTGGGGAAGTGAAGATCACACCTGCCCGAAGTCATTGTTATTTTGCAAAACTCCGGTCGCCCACGAACGGAGTTCTTGATTGGTGCGGTTAAGCTCCAGCCGTCAGTCACAAGCCAAATGTGTCATTTGAGTGTCATTCTGACATTTTGCTCTTGCTGGACAAAGAGAAAGATGGCGAACTCTGATTGAGAAGTTATTAGTTCCGATGTCGCTCTCGAGCAAACAAGAAATGTAATATGTCTCGTGCATTAAAATCGGAACAAAAAGAAGCAATTTCTATACTGCTTTCTGGGATGGATTTGCTGGCCGTCTTGTTAACTAGCTTTTGGAAAGCATGATATTTCAGGTGTTGGTTCTTATGAAAAGCTCTCGTCAGACAGAACTTCGTTAGAAGAAAGTTCTGTCTGACGAGCGCTTAGGCGCGAAACTCAGAGTAACAGAGAATCGATGCGTCCTCTTTGATTCCTTCACACACACACACACATATATATATATATATATATATATCAAAGTAAAAAAAAAGGTCTAGTCACGGTAATAATCGTAGACGTCATTAAAGCGTCTACATCGAAAATATTCTCATTTTTTATCAGTCAGTGCTTTAACAGAACTTTCATTTTTATCCAACAATAGAAATAGAATATAAAGTGCTCAAAGTAGACTGTCAAATCTCAGACTCTTTTCAGGCTAAACACAACAAGGTTTATGCTGATAAGCTCTGAAGGAAATTGTAGAAAAAGGAGATAAAGCTGATTTACGAGAACTAATTTTTGAAACTGAAAAATCAGTTGCTATAAGCTAATTATAGAGGAAAACAAAGATTATGTTTCAGATGCTGAAAGAGTAAAACTACATTCGTGCTTGACACACGTGCGTCTTGTTCTAACTCGACTTGGACGAAATTACCTGTTTACGAGTGCGGAACTGAAGGGCCTGATACCCATATCATACCGCGATTTGCACACAATTTTGTTTCTAAAGCTTGAGCAGTGGGAGACAATTGTTTGTTGAAATGGAGAAAGTGTGTTTTCTGATATATTCTGCTCTTCTTGTGCTAACTAGAGCCATTAACGCGAAGAGTAATACTGGTAAGCAAAATGTTTAGACTAACATCTACATGTTTTTTCTTTTTGAAAGCTGACTATTAAGTATGCTTGCTTGTAAAAAGAAAAAAGGATGGCACCGTAATTGGCAAAACAAATAGTGCTCACCACACTTTAGATATCGGAATGTATTCAGACTGTTCCGGCGAATGCTTGGTCATTAACATAAACGCCGTCAGTTGGGACGGCCGAACAAAATACTGCATGCTAGAATTTAAGTCTAATTAATATCCGAATCGGTCGTGTCAGTTAGTTGTCGTCAAGCAGTCGCACAGTTAGGACCAAAAAAAAAACAGTAAGTTTAGTGGCTGTGTTTTCGTTTTCGAATTTGGTAGTAGTTGTAGAATTTATCGTCGAAACACAGACATCATGAAACCTTTTCAAATTTACAATCGATGCAGCCATTTTTTGGTAATAAAGCTGAAATTAAGGTTTTGTCTCGTTCTTGAGAGCTAGTTCAATAAACATTAGTTCAATAAAATTAAAGCACGACAGGCTTTATACTTGTTTCACATATTAGCACTTAGGATCCAACATTGAAACAAACCTAAAGTGTATTAAGAAGAATACTCATTCGACAGATCGGTAAGGAGTGGAACTTTGAAAAGGGAGTAAACATTCTTCGTATGAAGCTAATCGCATACCAAACAAAAGAAAACAAATAAAAAACGAAAAACACCTAAGTTGGTTTTGGATGCTATTTCACTTCAAGGAATATTATTGTTAGAACAGTTTGTTTCTGCTTCTAACCTTGCCCCTAAGGTGTTATCAGCTAATAAAGTCAATGGTTAATGGATAGTGTTTTCTTTGTTCAATTCTACATTCAGTTTCCGTGAAGAAGAACTTCAGTGGTTCCAGCTACATTTTCTATAGCAGCAATGGTAACAATTACAATTGGGATGAAAGCAAAAAAATATGTAACGAACAGTCTAGATATAACCTTGTTTCTATTGAGAGTCGTGAGGAGTGGAACTTCCTGAATCGAACCATCCAAAAAGAAGATACCATTGAATACTTCATAGGTTTGAGGAAAGATGCATCAACTAGAGTGTGGAGATGGTTAAGTGATAACAGCAAAGTCAATGCGTCCAATAAAGGACATTGGCCCTGGGCAAAAGGACAACCTAGCGACGGAAATAGTAAAAGAGGAGAGAACTGCGCGCAGATGTACAGAAATTATTCTAGTAACTTTGGGCGCTATAATGATGTCCGCTGTAACTTATCCCTCGCAAAAGCAGGATTCATATGTGAATTGACAAGTGGAGGAGGTAATAGACCCTTAATTCGCATTACGCGAAACTGAAAATAAGAATAAGGAAATCGTATTACGGCCGGTCCCTCTCTTGAAAGTCAGTTACACCGAGGAAGAAAGCTAAAAAGATTACATAACATAGTATAAACACTAGATAGACCGTGAAGTCACTTTGGATCCTAATAGTGAGCCTATAAGGACTTCTTGTCACACAATTGGCTAAATTATTTCAATATATCTATTTATTCGTTTATTAATATATTTGTTTGTCTCTTTTTCATATATAGATACCACACTGTTACCATTGCTTTGCGCTTTATTTAAAGTAGGATATAAAATCACATATTACAATGATAGGTGAATTTTCATATTCTTGTTTAGAGAAAATTTCAGCGAAAGCGACAGCATCTACCATAACAGGTAAGTATTGGCGTTGTTACTGTTGTCCAGAAGATGATGTGAATTAGTGCTTGACCTATCCAACAAATATGTCTATATATATGAAGATGATGACAAACCTTAATTACTTTTGAATGTTTAGGTTTGTTGTTAAGTATAAATAAAAGTGTTTGTGCAATTTTATATATTAGAAAAATGAAAATGCTAGTAAATTACCCAGGACGGAATTATGGATCCCAGACATCGACAACTGCTCGAAACCATCCAACTGCAAATCTTTAACTTTTGAATTTATATCATATAAGTATTTTTACGTTTTATATAAAAAACGGAACAGAAAACCTTAAATTACAAATGGATTTGTGTTCCTCTCTATAAAAATGATGGATCCCAGGCAAAAAACTTTTGGTTCTTTTGTTCAGGTTTGTTGTTATTTACCACTTTTGATATCTACCTACAAGAACATTTTTATATATTATTTGAGTTTTTACCTAAAAGTATTTGTGACAATTTTTATATGTTAGAAAAATGTTGAATTTTTATTGAAAAACTGCTTATAGTGAATTACTAACTTTGGTTTTGTGTTCCTCTTTAATTAAGGACTGAATGATGGATCCCAGGCATCGAAAACTATGATGAATCTCAGGCATCGAAATCTGGACCATCTACAATTGCGACAACAGGTAAAAGCTTATCTACCCTTTTTTTTGGTTATTACGGTTTTTCATGCAAAGATCTATTCATTTATTTATGTAATTTTCCCATGTAAGATAAATTCGTACCACACTGTTACTGTTAATTTGCGCTTCCCTTAAAAATGGATAGGCAATCATCAAAGCACTGGTATAACATACAGAAAAGAACCTTTAAAAAAATAGAAACAAAAAAATTATCACCAATTTTTTTAACCTCCATGCGTTTTGTTCCTTTGTCTGTTCTGTTATTAGTTACCACCATAATTATCATCATCATTTTATTGACTTTCCAGTATTTGTATAATTTTTATAGATGAGACCAACGTTGAATTTGTATTGAGAATGCTAACACGTGGATTTGATTAATCAAAATGATTTTACTATTTTTAAAAAGTTGCATCTGAACGTTTGGTTCCATGCCCTATCTGAAACAGCCTCTTCTTTTATATATCAAATAAGGGGTCACGTCAGGGAATACCGTCACTGAACATCCCTTGGCAGACGATGTACATGCTGGCAAGCCTAACTTGATTGTGATTGTTGTGGTGCTACTGGCCATTTTCATTCTGCTCCTTGTAGTCGCTTTCGGACTTATGTTCTTTCGCAGACGTCGGAGCCACGATAAACAATGTAAGTGCCTTTCACTGTGTTTTCTTTTGTTTCGTATCTAAATTTTTTTCTATCATGAGGAACAATCCTTTTCGTGTGTCTTTACATTACTTTCGTCTCCTTTACTTTTTATCTTGAGTTATCCACGTAATCAGTCAACTGTGCAAAAGAGCATGTACTTAAAATCCATTTTAAATGTCCTTCTGCATGATGATTGCAGCAGTTTATGCATTATTATATTATTTACTACGAAAAGAACAAAGTGGAGGTTTTTATCGAGGGCCGAGGGTCGAGGGGAAAATGTTAAGGGTCGAGGGTTCAAAATATGTCAGGGATTTATTTATTTAATTGTTTATTACTTATATTTCCTCGAGCGCGCTAGGTTTATTGATTTGTCGACATCAGCGCCTAGATCACGCAAAACAAAACTTGGTTATTTATGGCGGTTCTTTCAACGGTCAGGAAACCTCTTTGTTGACGGGTTTCGACGGCTGAAGTATTTAAGGGAAAAAATTAATCAATGAAGTTTAAGTGATTTAGACCAAGGGCTCTAAAACAATAGCAAATTTCGAGCCATCAGTGAGTAATCAGTGTCTCACTTCCGCTTCCCCTCTACCTGCATCCCAGTCGTATTTTTACGCCGGCTTTTTTGTATATACGATATAAATATATTTTATAATGCGTTAAGTTTCCCCCGATCGACCTCGCGAAGTCCTGAGAATCACATATCTATAGTTTTAAATAAACATTTTTTGTACCTTGTGGTCGTAAAATTCCCTCGTTCTTTTCTGTTAGCCATTCGCGCGTTTCCACTTTTGAGCCCGCTAAGGGACTAAAAATATCGAGGTACTTAATCATAGATTTTCGTATTACTGGAGCAAAGAATATCGTTCGTCCTACCAAGGACCACGTTATATAGAGGTTCATGAAGTTGTGGTTTTACTTTTGGGAGGATTTTTATCAACGTTCTCTGAGCAAAGCTGTCAAAAAAACCCTCCATTACGAATAACTCACTGAAACACGCGCAAGTGAAATAGGAGAATGAGAGAAAGTGCTGAATGGAGAGGAAACGAGAGCTAACATCCTGGTATTTCGGTCACTTGGAGAAAGGCGGGAAATCTTACGACCACGGGATACAAGGAATGATATGATAATAAATTTTAAATAAGCAAAGAAATAAATCAATCAATAAATTAGGAAATTTTTGAACCCTTGACATTTCACCCTCGACCCTTGACTAAAACCTTTAATGAAAAGAACACACTTACGTTTCCTTTTTTTTTTTAATTTTTAATTTTTTAAATTTTCTTTCAACACTAACAATGGCGACGACGGTGAAAATTAATTGGTGACACGATTTTGGGGATAACTATGGAAATTATGTTACAATAAGTAAGTATACACTAGATTACTGATACGTATTTAAGTACAATTAGAGAGTTTTTGCTTATTATTGAGTATATAAAAAGGAAAAGATTTCTTTTCTGCCTCTCAGTTAAATTTGGCAAACCACTGTCCCAGAAGCGATTAAAGCATTTGTTACAAAAAGGAAAAATAAGCAACGCAACAAATTGATCAAATAGAGAGGCAATAAAATACCCTTCAGCGTGTTGCTTTGGCTGGTTGTCGCCTGTCTCCAAGTCAGCGAAAAATAGTCCTTAAGTTAGAGATACACACGGCAGTTGTCTTTTGCGTACCATGGTCCTCCTTACAAAAGCGAGACAAGGTCGGAAATAAGTTAAGCAGCAACATCAGAACTGATGTTACAACAGCTGAGTCATTTAATGTAAAACTGCTGACCCTAAAAACATTAGTTAGAGAAATTATCAGAGTCAAAAAAAATTTTGATAGTGTTTGATAAGCAGTTTACTGCGCATTATAAAATTTTCAGAGAAATGCGTGCGCCGTGATTGGTCAGAACGAGTTCATTATTTAACAAATAGATTTCCAGTTGCAGCGCGTCTATTCAGTAATAGATCACAGATGATGTCAAAATGTGGTAAGAACAAAAAAGTGGCACACGAGGCGCAGCTGAGTGTGTCACTGATGTTCTTACCACATTTTGACGTCCTCTGTGATCTATTACTGAACAGACGCACGACAACTCGGAATCTATTTGTTTTATATAATAAAGAATCAAAATATGCGGAAAAAAGTGTTAATGATGACGTCATCTATACGTCTGTCCTCCAATAGATCATAAGTGAGAACCAATCAGAATGCGTGCATAACTGAGCTTTTTATATAAATTTCCATAGAGCACGCGCCTTATGTCACACAAGTGCACTTTTGAGATATAAGGCACGCAGCATACGTCATCGGTAAGGGCGCGCGCAATTCATGATACATTTTAGTATAGGTAATCACATGATTTCGAGTGCACTTTGGAATAAATAAGCACGAGTAAATTTTTTTAAAGACTAACAAAATTGTACAAGCCCGTAAAGCGAGTGCAATTTGTGGTCTTTGAAAAAATTAAAAAGTGCTTGTTTATTCCAATCTGCACCAGAAAAATCATGTGATTACGTATTAATAATATCTATGAAAAAATACGAGATAGCTTATCATAATTACGCAGAAGCAAAGCAAAGCGCGCGCATCAAGTGCAAAAATAACTTATTTAAACTTGTGCATTCGGTCAAAACAACCGCGTACGATCAAAACAGTAATATCCAATGATATTTTCACATCTATAAGGCACAAAAAAGTTGAAAGTCCAGCAAAACAGTTCAAGAAATTGTTCAGTCTATGTCCGAATTAATTTCGATGGAATGGAATAGTCGTTTGCGAGGTTTAACGATGTTTGTTTCAATTTGGTGTAGAATCGCTGGAGCAAAGTGTTAAGCTGGATCGGCTCGTAATTTTCATTTCGGCCTTGGCAATTCCCTTCTCTAAACACCACTTTTTCCAAATCGACAACCAAAAAGCAATGCTTTTTACAGTGTTTTCGTTGTTAGAGCTGTTTTCCAGCTGCTGTATTGTTGTTGCGGTGGTGAAAGAAGACCTACTTCAAACGCCGGCCAACGCTCGCGAATTTTCAGAGTAGCCAAATGTTAAGACGTCCAAGGCTCGCAATTGATTAGCTATTTGTAAGTTTCTTTGATTATTGAACAATCAGAATGTTTGGTTTTCTTTGCACTGAGTTAACCCTCTTCTGCATTGATTATTTGAAAACAACTTTTATCCTAACCAATCAGAACTAAGTCATTTTTTCATATATATTATTATAAAAGAACCAAAAAAAACTTGTTCCTCGAGAAGTGAGAGAAGCACTCGCCTGCGCGGCCCGTGCTTCTCTGCACTTCTCTCGTGTTCTTAAAAATTCGCGCGTGCTTATATAACTCAACAATGCACTCGGCGCGTTTTTATTTCTTTAACATATCAGTAAAGCCTAATTTCTTGCGTCATAGATGATGTTTAGACGAAGATCGTGTCATATGCACCTACGAGAAGCCTTCGAGCTCTGAACTGACATCACTCGACCCTGTGCTTGTTCAACAAACACAGAGCTCCGCCGAGCTTACTGTTCACCTAACCCTTTCACGAACGGAATCTGGGCTGGCCACCTACGAAACAGTGAGCGACTGCAAAAAAGAGTGCGGCTATGATAACGCTGAGACTAATCGAAAGTGGAGTTCAGTAAGCGAGAGGCGTTCAGATATTCAGGAAACAGCGCCAGAAAACACAGTGTTAGTGAGTGGTGAGAAAGGAATACAGCAGCCACCTGCTTTGTGCGATAAAAAAGAAGAAAATAAGGATCATGTATACGCTGTTGTTCATAAAGAAAGAAAAGGCAGAGCCAGTTCTGAAGTGAGCGCCCTCGAAAAGACTGCGGGCCGCCCTCAGGAAGAAACAAGTGGTTTACCTGTACAATGGGCGTCTTGTGTGGATCAGGCCCCGTCTCTGACACCAGAGAATGGTTCGTCTCATCAAACTAATTCAGGGCTCGACAACAACACAGAGGCTGCAGGGAGCGAGACACCTCAGGCTGGCGGGAACACTGAATATTTGTACGCAGCTGTTGACATGACAAAAAAGAAGAGGAAGCCGCCACAGGTAATACATCTCACAAATCCTGGCAACAGTTTCTTTTTTGTTTTGTTTTGCTTTTATTTGTTGGATTTTTTTTACATGGAGACGTGTTTCTTCTTCAACGCTGTTTCATTAAGGAAACAGTCTTAGTCTGTTTACTTCTTCGATTCATAATGTCTAAGTATGATAGTTAAGCGTACAGCTGGAGCACAGCAGCTGGATCTTTGCTTAAGTGTCTAAAGGATCCTCTGCAACAAACAAATAAACAAAAAATACAGGACTAAACTGATAAAAATAAATTTGAAATAAAAAAAACCTTGATCAGAAGCAAAGCAAGGGAACACTGACCCGGTTATCTTATCAAATTCGTTTACAATTTTTAGTGTTTTATTTCTCATTTAATGTTGTTTTTGTTGCTGTTGTTGTTTGCTTGTTTGTTTGTTTATTTGTTTACCTCGTTACTGTGTTGCTATTTCACGATCTGCTCATAAGGTATTATTCTCTGTTCCATGTTCGATGTAAAAGCCTGCTCCATACCGTGGCCTTGTGTACGCAGATCTGATCCTTTCCCGCGAAAACAGTGCAAAGCTTGTCAAAGAACAGCCCCAAACAGTATACGCCCAAATTGATCCCGTCAAGACAGCAAGCGTGAAGATATCACAGAAGAATCCGGAGGAGACAAAGGACGGCGAACATCAGTGAAACTCGCTTCCTATCTCAGGAATGTTTTAATGATAAACATAGAGATGAAAACAAAACTGAAAGAAACAAGTATGCAGACCCCATAATTAGAGTTAGTGATCGGTAATTATTTGTTTTGTCATTACAAATACCCGACTAGTTTTGTAGAAATTTCTTCAAGGGATTGTACTCAGAATACTTTAAATGAGCCCCTTTAAGGTACATGCATGTCAAAACTGAAAAAAATCAGTATAACTCATATGGGATAAGTTTGTATAGGAAAAAGTTCGTAGTCAGCATTTCGCGCATGCGCGTACTGAAGGAAAACATTTCAATAGTTCAATTCACTTTGTTCTTGGTGTCTAGTTTCATGCTGAGGGAAGCTTTCTCTTGACGCACAGTCGAAATAATGAGTTAAGAATAAAAGTTACAAAGTCATAAATTCCGGAGGTTGGATGACGTTGAATTAAACTGCAGCGTCAAATGTGTCAAGTTGTAAAACCTGTTTTAACGCTGATCAACGAAATTCGATGAATAAATGAACAAAATGGTTTAATAAATGGTTTCCATCTAAACTATTTCATTCAAAAACGACAAAACCTAAAGATGGCTTTTCAACACTATTGTAAAACCCACCAGAACCTTTCTAAAACTGGCTAAGGACGATGATACACAAACACAAAATTCTTGCAATCTATATAAATGTTCGGCACTTCTAAAAAGAAAGCTAGCTCTTTAGAATATCAAGATTTTAGAAAACTTAATTAAGTGTTAAATCAATTTCTTTCAATGTTTCCGTATATTCTGGATTATAAGTCCAAATTTAAGTATTCGCACTCACTCTTTGGTTTTCGTACGCAGCATTTAGAAATTACTATCGTTTCACCTGTTAGTGAATGCAAAACGTCAGCCCACTCCCCTCCCCCTCCTCTCTTTAAAGAGAAAAATTAGAAGTAAAAGTGTAAAGAACCACTTTCCTTTCATTCGAATGACTGGGACCCAAAGAAGCCTAAGGAACTGAGCTGTAAGGTAACGTTGCGGTCATCAGCTCGCGAAACGAAAGTCTTAAATTAGCATATGGTTTTAATAAAGCGGTAGAGAAGACAGCACAAAATCTTGGCATTATTTTTATTTGAAATAGCCCGAAATCCTCTGTTGTTTTCTGAGAATCAACAATTCTGGTATTTCTATAATACCACGAACAATTTTTCAAGAAGAGTCTCAGTTTCCAGCTGCTTTTCCCCCGTGGGGAAACGTGGGTCGACGCACGTAGCATGCGAGGGTTATTTGTTTAAGCTGGGTAGGTCGAGATGGGACGCTTTCTGTTCCTAGTATTTTCATAACTTTCAAAAGAACGAAAATATCGCATTATTTCACTTTAAGAGAAAGAAAAAAACCTAATTAATCCAGACTCACACAGGTATATTGGGGTCTATTTTCTCTATTGTCTCTATAATTTTGAGCAAAAATAAAATACATTGGTGCCACGCTCACTGTAGTCTCCTTCGTAGCCGTTGTTTGGTCTCGTCACATAACGCCCTATATTCCCTGTTGGAGAGAGAGCGCGTTGCGTGACGGTTGCGGAAGAGACTACGCTCACAACAAAAATATCATTCCACGTAATTTTACAACGAAAAGCAACCTGAAACTCTTTTGTATCTCCAATAGACCCTAACCAAGAATATATTGCGATCTCGAATAAGTAAAGATTCACTAAACGAGAAAAAAGGATAATAATTCAGAGAGGTCTCCTTGATTGATCGTTGCCTTTCTGGACTTTGCCCCCAGGGCGTGAAAAACGTGAAAAAAAGCAGGTTGTCCACAAGGAATTAACACGCAAGGGATTAGGTCCAACGCAGCTAAAAGCGAATTTTATTTGTAGAAAAAGTCAAAACGCTGGAGAATTGCGTGAAAAAGCCGCTATCAGTAGCATTAAGTTTCATGTGAATTTTTTTCAGTGGGGTTGGATAATACGGTTAGAATATGTGATAAAATGTAAGTTGTTTACCAGGAGATGGCACGTGATAGAGCATAGTCTAATATGGACAAGTGGAATTTGATTGGTGGAATGGCCCCCCTGATTCCATGACATAATTTATAAGAAAACAATACCCATACGCTGTGATTGGTGCAAGATATCTACATGCTGTGATATGATTGGTGCGAGATACATACCCTAATGCGGCAATCCGGTTGGTGCGAGATACATAACCTAATGTGGCAATCTGATCGGTACGAGATACATAACCTAATGCGGCGATCTGACTGGTGCAAACAACATACCACTCTACTCGTTAACATAGAGTTATTTATTTTTTTATAAAAAAAAAATAACTCAACAAAAACTTATTTGCAGCCCATCGCACGACCAATTTGTGTGTCTTTCGTAATATTGTTTCAAACTCTACAACACAGCGAGTGCTGTAAGGTCTGTATGTCAATAGTTAGGGACAAGCTACCAGAGAATTCTCCCAGTGAAACGCCTTCTCTTTTAATTTCAGTGAAGGCAAAGACATTGCGAAATACAGAAGCTAATCACTTAATCTAAATTCGACATCTTTTTTCAATGGACGGCTAATTATTTCAACAACTTACAAAACTACAATGAAAAGTGCCATATGCGCACGTCAAGTCATTTCAGAAAAGTTGGATAACTTGTCTTTGAAATGCAATTTATTTAAGCATCTCTACCGCTTTAAACCTCGGTTGAGTTAACAATAAAATAAACAACAACAGCATCTGTTGACTGGTTGATCACAGATCTACACAGACGTAAGCCCATTGGATTTAAAGAAAATATCGTACTCCTCGTTCACTTGCTACTTGTGTATTTGGTGACTGCATGCTTTCCAACTTCACCTGGCAAAAGCAGCCGTAGAGCAGTTTGGATTTCGCGGGAACTCATTGTCGACTTCTTACCGTACTTTGTCAGGCGATATGCCTTCATAGCTATGCGCTCGAAAATGTCGCTAACGAAAGAGTTCGTGATACCCATGCCTTTGGTTGTAATTCCAGTATCTTGATGACCTTGCTTCAACACTTTGTGGATGTACAGTGAATAACTTTCCTTTCCCTTCACTTTCTTTTTCTTCTTATCGACTGCAACACTAGATTTCAATGTACCGGCTTTCTTCTCTGCTGTAACATCACGAGAAGGTTTATGTGATTTCGCCATGACTCTACATAGATTCCCCCTCTTCTACACCACACTATTCGATAGCCTTCGATTTTTGGAATCACACTGTAACATTGCAAGCTTGCAACATAAAACTGGCTCTGGCGCCAATTTTCAGGGCATGCACTGACGATGTATAATATTTCCACTCGCGATCAAAATCCTTGTTCTCTGATTATTTACTTGTGGAAGTTGAAATCCAAAGATTACCAGGTCAACATGATATTGTGATTGGTGGATTTCGATCCGAGCTAGCAACGAAGTTATCACTTATGACACTTTGACAATTTCGGATCCACTTTTAAGAAATCTAATAGATGTTGAAGACCAAAAAAATACCTTGCCCATTTGGCCCCGAACACACTAAGCGGTTTCAAAAGAGTCGGTTTTTGTGTCCAACAAAAAGAAAGAAGATATTTTTTGCCACACTAGTGTTCGTTTCGGTCTCCACTGCGCAGAATAATGTGTTTAAACTGGAAACGCGCACATTTCGATGCATTTGCGACTTTCCTCAACATTAACTGATCACCTGAAACGCCAAGAGAAATATATAGAGTATATATGGAACGAATGTTTTGGTCAACGTTTTCAAAAGCCTCAGTTTTCACTTGTCTTCGGAGAAAAGGAGTGTTTTCAAAATGCTCCACTTTTAAAACTGTTGACGGAAGTCTCCGTGTTCATAAGCAAAAACCGCAACCAAAACTATGCCATTTCGAACTACAATGCCTCATTTGTAGATGTGCAACTTTTATTTAGCTGGTTTCAGCTTAGCTCAACGTCATTTTTATGTACACTCCACAAAAGAACTCATTATGCGTCGAGTAGTTAAAAAATTCAACATCCCTTTCAGGGAGATCCCCCGGGTATTTGAACTTTTGAAGATTGGCTCGTTTAAATTTACTTTCAGTTTAGATTTCCATCCCACTTTGGCAAGTTTAAATTACTTTCTCCTTGGGCATAGACGACAGTCGAATGCCCGGGGATTGTTCTGGAGGAAGACAAGCGTTGTTGAAGATTCGATAACTGACCAGAGCAGTTCACGCTTACTTATCCCAAACAACAGTAGAAGCTGACTACGTAGACTATAGATGTGTTGATTAGTCCAACCGTTCTGAAACAGTTCATTTTACATCCGCATAAATAATGAAATAAAAGCTTATCACACATCTGTAGAGACACTGAAACACTAACAACAGTTTGAATTTGGGCCAACACGAGATGGATGTTATTATTAAAATCAGGAACGGGGAACGGGAAACCAAGAACAAGAACTGGGAACGAAAGTATGTTATGCGGTAATCCGCATAACAGTTTAAAATGGCGGATAACAACACGGAAAAAGGGTCTGAATAGAAGACCGTCATTCCCAGCTCCCCGTTTCCGATTCCTTGTTCAACGTTCGCCGCTCAGCGTTCCCCGTTCCTCGTACTCCATTCTGCGATCTGCGCTCACCGTTCCTGTTCCTGAATGTTTGACAAAGTTCCCATTGATCCACAGCAGGCAATCAGGCGAGAATCACCCTTCACCGATGAAACAGATCTGATTCTGAGCCTGTTTTAGGTGAGATTAAATATTCTTGTGACAATCTTCTGTGCACGAGTCATGAAAGTGGTATATTCTTTATGATATTGTCTCTATCTGGTTCCAAAAGAAAACAAATGTTTACATTGTTGTTTGTAAAGGATATGACGCGGAAAATGTGATCTTGCCAACTTTGTACCCACAACCAGTGCGCGGTTCTGTGTGCCTTTACGGTTGGGTACATTTCTGTAGCCATTGCAAATGTATTTTGCCGTCTGATGCCTATCTTAATGCTTTTCAAATCATTATTCAGAGGAGGAAAACTGCAAATACCTAGTCTGTGGAATGATACTTTTTTTGCAAGAGCAACATATTACAATTTGTCGTAGGTTGTTAGAAATTGCACAGACCAACGATTACTACAAAATGTTGCAGCCATTAATGATTACAAAATGCGTGACTCGATTTTGTCACAAATTTCTGCAATGCGTATTACAAAATGCATTATTCTTGCAAAATGCCGCAACTGTTGTTATAAAATACTCGTTTCCCCCTTAATAACTTTGTAGCTCTGAAGTCTTCAAAACTGGTGTCAGCGGTGAAGATCACTTTTTAGTCCTCTTGCAATTTTTCCAAGAGGTTAACCCTTTAACTTCCATGAGTGACCAAAACAGAATTTCTCCTAACAATATCAATACAATATAAAGCAGACAAGCTATGAGAATAAAAAAAATATCAATTACGGGATTATAAGTTGATTCAAAACTAAATTTTCCAAACCATCATCACAAGAACTGTATGGGAGACAGTAAAGAGAATTAGTAATGAGATCTTAATGATACCCTGTAAAAAATGTGTTCGTATCATCATCGGTGATATTACTTCTCTTTTCTGTAAGAGGTTTTTTCTTTAACAAACAGAAATGAGGAAAAAGAACGTCACATATGTTAAAACATTTTTTAGTAATTTGATTATTGTTAGTACTTATTATCATTGTTATTATTATCATTATTTTACTGAAGAAGGTCGTAATTTGTCTTCACCCGAGTTAATTTTCTCCAATCTTTGTTTTGCGGGAATTGTTTTTTTTCAGATTCTTGATTTTGGTTTCGTTTGTCACACTATCAGAAATAACACCGAAAGAGACACGATTTATTTTTGCAAGGTAAGAAGAAGAATGACAAGGAGTAATATTCTTCTCTCGTCTCTGAAAACTAAAATATTTAGGACCGAAACTCGGTGAAATCTTTATGATAGAGCATCCAGCTTTTCAAACAATCTCAGAAATAGAGAAAGATTCCATTTATCTCATCTCAGTCTACACTGGTAATTATTGCTACTATTACTGTTATTGTTTTTTTTTTAATTTATTTACACTAGCTATTTTAATAAATCTTTGTTTTGCAGTGAGTTTCCTGATTTTGGTTTCATCCGTCAAACGATCAGGATACTGAACTCGGAAACTTTGCGTTTTTTAAAGGGTAAGTAGCTTAAAAAAACTAATTCATTTATACTCTATCTCTCTAAACCCTGACATCACAGGCGGCCCAAGCTCACGTCTCGAGAAAAAGCCAACGATGAATTCACGAACGCGTCACGCGTTGTGTGACTCGGTGTTAAGTTACGGGAGGAACCGTCGAAAATTTGAACACGTTATAAGGAATAGTATGGGGAACGAAATATGGTCGATTTGCAACGATAAATATTTCGAAATATGAATATTTTACACGTAGAATCAATAAAACTTACTCGCATCCTGTGTGTCCGTTGTAGTTTCCGGCGATTTCTGCTGTTTTAAGCTTGCTTTACCATCACTGTTATCCATGTCAAAAGGCCGCCTGTGAATAAACTTGCTGAAATTTGGTGATAGGAGATTTTTAAGTGGGGTAAGTGGGGTTGAACGTAAATTGGCAGAAAACTTAGCCGTTAGGCGTAAAAATCGACAAATTTCAACCAAGAGTCGGAAAAAATTAACCGTGAAAATTTTTCTCTTAATCGCAACGGAAAGAAATTCAGCTTTAGCCGTAAAATGTCCCAAATTTCAAACAATGACCGTAAAAGTTCGCCCCATTGAGACCCTCTTAAAGCTGGTGACGATTTGGAGGAGCAGCGATTTTTTTTATCGTTCAAATTAATATTTTGTTTTTCACCCGCGTGACTCTTGCTATTTGTATTCATCTTTCTTTTACGGGTTTTATTTCAGTTTCTTGTTTTTGGTTTACGTATGTCACGCGATCATCACATAGCAGATAAAATTTTAAGAGCAAAAGAATTATGATGAAAATGCACAAACCCCTATCTTTTTCTATGCATGTTGTAAGACTAAGTATAAAAGCGGAGATATTGCAGACGTGACTTTTAAGCAATTCTCCTTTTTGGATCAGTCAAGTCCTTACTTTGTAATATTTCTATTTATCATATGGCTGGCAGCGCCAGCAGGCAATATGAAGCGAATCCTTACTTCTAATATACTACCCGAACAGGCAACATGGGCCCATCTTGCCCGCTTGGAATCGCCCTCTTTGATCCCGGGCAAGAAAACAAGTTCTTAATTTTTGGACAATGTCGGCGATGGATTCGCAAAAAGCGGCAGTACACAGTGAACTTTGACGTGCTTTCTTACCAGTTCTTTAGGTAAACAAGTCATTTTTTAGTTTTTTCCTAGCGAACTATTTTTGCTATGCAGTAAATCCTTTATTGACCAAGCATGTTCGGTCGAGAAGGCTGAATATTAGCCTCTTTAGCATTTTTTATGGACCTCCACGATCCACAAAAACGCGAGAAAAAAAAAAAAGGCAACTCGGCGAATACACAGCCATCATTACCTCACGCTCGGACAAGAACGAATATTTATTTGCATTTATCATTGACAGGTTAAGTTTTCTTTCAGTTTCTTGTTTCTGGTTTCTGGTATCGTTCTATGGCTGCCACTAGTTACTTTTCATTTTTTTTTGATGAGTTTACATGATCATTCTGTCAGACAAATATTGGGAGAATCAAGCTATAGACGTAACTAAAGTACTTCGGATATTCAGTGGCCTGTTACGTCGCATGTGAAAAAAAGAAATTCCTATCGTTTAAGAAGGCTCCATAAGGTTTTTGCTCAATTTTGGCGCGTGCGCCAGCGTAATGTTTTTCTAAAAAATGTTTATGTTTTCGCTCTTCAAGGTCACTAAAAGCCATCAAAAGGGCAGTGAATAAGGTTCGGACTAGTGTTTGCTGTAGTAAATATTATAAAAGTGATTTTCGATATTAAGCTAGGGCTCCACGAAGGGACGCGCTCGCCAGTGATAGTTTGGCTGTGCCTCTTATTTTATTCAATTTGCTTCGATGAAATCTAAAAATTTTCACAAAATAGGAAAATCTGCCATGCCGATCATTAAAAGCCGAAAAAAATAGGAGTTTCAAAGCCAGTTTCCTAGCTATTTGCAATTTTCTGTTTTTTCCTCTATCTCTAATTTGGTCCTATGAATTTATTTTATAAACAGTCACTAGGAAGGCACAAATATGTTTAACGGTTCAGCAGATCTTTGGAAATTCCACCTAAGGAAACGCGATAAATCTAGCTCGAAAGATCCCTGTTTTCTTTGCCGCAAAAAAATTACGTAATTGAATAGAACTTCACCAAGATCAATATCTGAGCAAGTGTAAACTTTCGAATATGTCGCGGCAGCTGTCGCCTTTTGGCAATCTTTCCCACGGCGTTTTCTTTTCAGTTGACCTCTTTTCCAGGCGTAGAAGGCCTATGAATATTACGGGTGCACTTTCTAGAAACCCTTGATTCCATCACATAAAAACTGTATCGTATTAGACTGTTTTTAACAAACCATTTCAGATTACAATCGTGCGATTATATCGAGCCGCCATGTTTGTTTGCAAGTTGACACTTTTAAAGCTCTCGCTATGTTCGTACCCAGATCTCGCACGGTCAAAAAAATCTTAAAGAGCCTCCTTAGGAAATGATATTCAACAAAGTATTCTAGGCGCCGAAAATAAATTTCACTGTATGCCTGCCCAAAGTGAGGCGATGGGGTTGAAAAAAATAATACAATAGTGTTCTGTGACAGAAATTAAACTACCAACCCAATGAATTATAAAAAAACGAAGTTTTAAAGCTGACATACTTTTGATAAATTTTACCTGAATTACTTACGCGCTGATAAAACATCAGCAGAAGGAATCATTGTTAATATGGACCAGTTTGAAGTTGTTTAATTATCTTTTTTCCATCTAAGAGACGGGTCATTATTGACCGCCGGGGGATGGGGGACGGAGTCAACCGAATTTTATCGTAAAGCAACATACCCCCCCCCCCCCCGAAGTAAAGTTATGTCCAGAACTTGGTATCCAATGTGACACTGTTACGAGCGAGAGATATGGCTGGGTGTCGACGAAAACGGGGGGGGGGGGGGAGGGAAAGGGGAGGAGTAAACTCTAGTAATAGCCGGCTAGTGGGGATGTGCATCAGGATAAGATGGCATTTTTAGGACTGGATTGACTATTATGGAGATGAATTTTCAATAGAGTTACCAGGATGGGGTCGCATACTTTCGGGATTTTGAGGTAAAAATCTGGTAAAGGTTCTGAGAGGCACCCCTGCCCTCCCCCGCGATAGGCTGGATCTCAAAATTGGATGTTTTTTACGCATTTTTACACAATTTTTCTTCACAATTTTTCAACAATTGTTGTTTCCATGCACAGGTCATAAATTATGGGGAAAAACGAAAAAGGGAATGTTACGCTTAAACCAACAAGCTTTTATGGAAAGTGAGCGTTCTGCCTGAAAAATAGTTGCACGAAGATGGCTTCCAAAAGTCATCATCTAATTTAGTTATTCAAGGTTTCTCTATTTTTTACTTATTTCATTTCAGGAAGGCATTCTTTAAGACACAAAAGAGCGATGAATAACACGCCTGAAATCCTAGAGAAGATCAAAATAGGCTTGGATGTTGCTACATATCTTCTGAAGACTGATCGTGGTATACAAGCCTCTGATTTGTGTGATGAATGTGTAATCTTACTCAACAACCTAGACTCTGATATTAACGGCCTTGATGTCTCTGAGGTAATATTTAATGCGTACTATGCAATAAGTTACACCATTAAACTTATTGACATATTCTACAATGCTGGAATATCAATGAAAGAACTGGCAGACAAATATTTACGAAGAAGTAGGTTTGCAGAAGCCAAGAAACTTTTTGAAAGCGTAGTTGCGATCAATAAAACAATTGGCCTTAAAAGTGAAGAAGCAATCACTTATGGCAGGCTAGGATGTGTGTTTGAATCACTTGGTGAATATAACAAGGCTAAAGAACATCATTGGAAAGCACTTGCTATCGCAACAGAAATTGGCGACAGGGAAGGAGAAGGAGTATGCTACGGGAACCTTGGAAATGTGTTTAAATCGCTCGGTGAATATCAGAAGGCTAAAGAATATTACGAGAAAGCACTCGCTATCGCAACACAAATTGGCGACAGGAAAGGAGAAGGAAGACAGTACGGGAACCTAGGAGTTCTGTTTCGATCACTCGGTGAATATCAGTTTGAATCACTCTATCGCAACAGAATATCGACAGGGGAGGAGAAAGAATATTACGGGAACCTTGGAAATGTGTTTCGATCACTTGAATATCAGAAGGCAAAGAATATCAAAATTGGCGAACAGAAATTGGCGCCAGGGAAAAAGAAGGGACATGCTACGGGAACCTTGGATGTGTGTTTGAATCACTCGGTGAATATCAGAAGGCTAAAGAATATCACGAGAAAGCACTTGCTATCGCAACAGAAATTGGCGACAGGGGAGGAGAAAGAGTATGCTACGGGAACCTTGGAAATGTGTTTCTATCTCTCGGTGAATATCAGAAGGCTAAAGAATATCATGAGAATGCACTTGCTATCGCAACAGAAATTGGCGCCAGGGAAGGAGAAGGGACATGCTACGGGAACCTTGGATGTGTGTTTGAATCACTCGGTGAATATCAGAAGGCTAAAGAATATCACGAGAAAGCACTTGCTATCGCAACAGAAATTGGCGCCAGGGAAGGAGAAGGGAGATGCTACGGGAACCTTGGAGATGTGTTTCTATCTCTCGGTGAATATCAGAAGGCTAAAGAATATTGCGAGAAAGCAATTGTTATCGCAACACAAATTGGCGACAGGAAAGGAGAAGGAACACAGTACGGAAATCTTGGATGTGTGTTTCAATCATTCGGTGAATATCAGAAGGCTGAAGAATATCACGAGAAAGCACTTGTTATCGCAACACAAATTGGCGACAGGAAAGGAGAAGGAACAGAGTACGGGAACCTAGGAGCTCTGTTTGAATCACTCGGTGAATATCAGAAGGCTAAAGAATATTACGAGAAAGCACTTACTATCGTAACAGAAATTGGCGACAGGAAAGGAGAAGGGAGATGCTACGTGAACCTTGGAGGTGTGTTTCTATCACTTCGTAAAAATAAGGCGGCTAAGGAACATTTTGACAAAGCCCTTACCATCAGTACAGAAACTGGCGAAAGAAATTGTGAAGGATGGTGCTACGCAGGCCTTGCAGATGTGTTTTATTCGTTTCATGACTACCAGAAGGCTACAGAACTATACGAAAAAATGCTAACTATCAGCATGAACGTTGGTGATAAGAGAGGACAGGGATTGAGTTACCTAAGACTTGGAGATGTTTCTCTATCGCTTGGAAATTATGACCAATCGGAGAAATTCTTTAACAAAGCGCGCTCGATGAGCAGCAAAATTAGAACTATATGATTTACTTTGAGAGCCTCCTCGGTATTACTCGAGTAAAGATGTCGCAATCAAAGTTAGAGGATGCAATGCAGTATCTTCGTCAAAGTATTGAAATTTATGAAAAGTTGCGAAATTTTCTCAAAGGAAACGATGAATTTAAAACGTCTCTCTTGGAAGAGCACGGTAATTTCCCCTACAAGTTGTTGCGTAAAATGCTGTGTGACAACGGACGCCTGCGAGATTCTCTCAACGTGGAGGAGCTGAGACGTGCTAGAGGCCTTGCAGAATTAATGGCGGACAAACTCTTAACTGAAAGCCACATCTCAACTGATTCAACATATCGGCCTGGGATCGAGAGCATTGTGAGTAAAGAGAGCAATTGTGCTGTTTTGTACATTTCATATTGTGAACGACATGTTCATCTGTGGGTCTTAAAAGCAAATGGACACATTGACCATCGAGTGAGCCCCGAAATAAAAATCGACACCCTAATTGATGCATTCGTTTGCGATGTGGAGGATATTTTTAAAAAGAGTGCCTCCAGTTTCGGAATTTTACTTAATGAGAATTGTGAAGATCGATCTCTAGGTGACGACACTTCCTTGTCTCCTCAAGAACAGAGCCGTGCACCTTTGCAAGGTGACCAAATCAAACGGAACGAAAGTATTCTTCAGTTGTGCTATGACCAAATTATCGCTCCTGTAAAAGATTTACTTACAGAGCCTGAAGTCATCATTGTGCCTGAGAAGTGTTCCTACCGAGTCCCTTTTGCTGCCTTACGGGATGAGCCAGCAGGAAAGTATTTATCAGAAACCCACAGAATCCGCATCGTCCCTTCTCTCACGACTCTCGGGATCATCCAGGAATGTCCAGCGGACTACCACAGTCAGACAGGTGCACTGGTAGTGGGTGATCCTAAGGCTGGCCAAGTGCAATACAGAGGACGTACTCTGAACTTGGAACCATTGTCCGGTGCAAGAAAGGAAGCAGAAATGGTTGGTCGACTTCTGGGGGTTCAGCCTTTGTTAGGAGAACACGCAACAAAGCAGGCGGTACTTCACGCACTTCATTCAGTGAGTCTAATACATCTTGCTGCTCATGGTCATGCCGACAGAGGAGAGATTGCCCTTACCCCTAATTGTGTTACGAACGGTATTCCACAAGAAGAAGACTACCTTTTGACAATGCCCGACATTTCAAAGGTTAAGCTGCGTGCTAAAATGGTCGTACTTAGTTGTTGTCACAGTGGGCGTGGAACCTTCAAACAGGAGGGAGTCATTGGAATCGCCCGCGCATTCCTAGCATCTGGTGCACGTTCAGTGTTGGTGGCATCTTGGGCCATACAAGACGAAGCAACAGAGCAGCTCATGAATCATTTCTACGAACACCTGGCTGCTGGAGAAAGTGCCAGTGAGTCCCTTCACCAGGCCATCAAATGGTTGAGAAGCAACGGCTTCACCGAACCTCGCCAATGGGCACCATTTGTACTGATGGGAGACAACGTGACATTTGACTCACAGAAATTAAGGTAAGCTTGTTTCTGATGACTGATTTTGTAGAAGTAACATTATCCACCATTGCTTGTGAAGAAAAAATTGTGTGACTATAAGATTTAATCTTATGCACAAAGAGCACATTCTGATCATGGTTCAGTAGGATTATTTCAGTCTGTAAGAAATTTAGCATTTAAGCCATTGGTCAATGCGTGCAACAACTGCTATCTGAGAAAAATTAATTGATAGATAAATAGATTAATCGATTTATTGATAAATGTATGAATGCCGTGGACAAGCTAAGGCAAAAATAACAGCCACGTGATGATGGAAACATGATTTCCTCTCTAGCTCCTAAAAAGTTCCCACTTATGTCCAGAAATGCCCGCAATAACGAAAATGGCACACGCGACGAAATTTTATCAAAGCGAGTGAACTTTCATGGATTTGACGATTTTGACCAATTTTAGTCAATTTCGTCAAAACGGAAATCAGCTCGGCGGATTTGACGATTTTGACGAATATTCGCCATTTTCGTTACTGCATGCATTTTTGGACATATCTCACTTATGATCTTTATTCAAAATGTTTGTTTTAGATAAGAAAGAGCCGACGGAGGACGAGAATAAAAGAGACAAGGGACAGAGTGGCGACTGATCCTGGACAAACACTCTTCCTCCCACTCGAAGAAAACTGGTGGTACCTTAGACAAAAACTTTTAAATCTGCACCGCTATTTTGCATGCTTTTTTTTTAACACGGCCCAGCTGCTTAGCAGATGATGCAATTCGCCCAAAAGTTGTATTATGTTTACCAAGAAGGAACAAAGATGATCACACGATTCAAAAATTGAAAACAGGAAATATTAGGTGAATTTTTCACGTTGCGAAAATTATGGAATTGTTTCTTTTCACTTGAGGTCACAAAAAGTGATTGACCTTTTTATTTTCCTAAGATTTGATTCTTAATTCTCGTTACCAGCTTCCATAATTTTCTCTCTAAATTGATAAGGAGAATCAGTTCGGTATTATGTCAGGTAACATAAAAAAAAGAAATCGCTCCCGGATTGATGAGTTTTATACTCTGATTTGTTATCAGATAGATATCGTGTAGATAGTTTTGTATGGAGAATTCACATGTAAATCTTATCAAGGCGTTAAAGGGCGAAAGGTGAACGTATTTGTTCATTTATTGAACCTAAACAGTAATATAATACTAATAATAATGGTAAGAGCCGTAGAGCGCTTTTCAATCGAGAGTCAAAACCAAAACCAAATTAATAACAACGATCAGTCGGAAGAAGAGAAAATGTTCTTGTGATCGATATCTTTTCTCCTTAAAAGGTTTTACAAAAAGCGCGGGAAAACGCGAGCGACCAAGTCGTAATTGGCTTTAGTTTTGCATCTGATTGGTTGAGAGATTAGGAGACCTGGACCAATCACAAAGTGAAATAATGCGAAAACAAAACAATCCCGGATTACATTAGGCACTTAATTGAAAATTGCTGTAAGAGTAATCATAAATAAAACAACAAAACAGAAAAGGCGTTAGATTATATTTTTTGTCTCACAGATTAAATAGAGCCAAACGAGTTTAACCAATATAGAATGACAGGTAAAGTACCTAAAAGGCTGAAACTCTGAGACAATTTAGGAATAAATTGAGGTTGTAACTGTAGCTTTATATTTGTGTTAAAGATCGGCGTAAAAGACGCGAATTCTAAACTTCCAATGCAGTCGGTAGAGGAATTCTCTGTACTCCCTCCCAGTACCAAAACCTCGCTCCAAAGTCGTCGGTACACGAGACAAA